GGATCAAAAGCAAAAAAAATTTCAAACTTAGAAGCAATATCTATCGTATATCTCATATATCAACGTTATATCGTTCTTTTCTGTTCTCTTCTTCTATTTTAGGGAAAAAAAACTCTGGTTCACTCTCTATCGTTTCTTACTTTTCTTTTTTCGTTTCTGTGAATAAATCTGTCGAATATAGAAAGCGCTTAAAACGATGAACAATGTGACGGCATCCCTTAGAACTGACGAGAAAACCCTTCCAGCTGTACAAACGCACCTGTCCCGCGAAATTCTGATCAAAATGAGACATCTCCCAGCTCTACACAACCTTTCTTTGCAAAGTTATAGAATTTACAAGAAAAGCCCTAAATGTTTATTGTCACCTCAGAGCGACAGAAAGAAAAAGGACTTGAAAGGAAGATGAATTTAGGACTTTTCTTGTAAATTCTATAACTTTGCAAAGAAGGGTTGTGTAGAACTGGGAGATGACTCATTTTAATCAGAATTTCACAGGCTACAGTTGTAACTTATTTAGAAAAACCCTTGGGGATTTTCGAGGCTCCTGGAAAACCAGTTCATCAAAACCGGTTAGGAAAGTCTGTGGGCAAAAACGGTTATCATACTCAGAATCAGCATGGTCGATTACCTATAAACTACCGCATTTGGTTGGAAAAGCGATCGGACACCTGGAAAGATTCTCTCGTGAGTTACGTAATTAACATTTTTTCAAGTAGAGAGAAATATAGAGCAGACTTTGCTCTACCTAAAGGTAAAAGAAATGATCTCACCTCTTTTATTTCAAGAGATATTGAGACCACAAAACAACTTTTTTTCGTCTACTTATTTCACTCACTTTATTTGTACTTATAGGAGAAAATAGTGTAAAGCATACTTAAACAGTTGAAAAATGTTTGCACCACAATATAGATAATTTGCAGAGCACATTTTTACTTCACTAGGAATCTTACCCTTTTCTCGTAATGATGTTCAGCCGTCTCGAGGTTATTATTCACACTGGTTTTTACTTTTTTCGAGTCTAGCAGTATCACCTCTGCAAGTTGACATGTTTTCCCGATTATTAAAATCGCATTTCCAGTAGAAAAAAGTAAGCATGCCTGTATTGCACCATCAACAGTAACTCCCGTAGCAGTAACTCCGTATACATTCTACCCAGATTCTAACCTTTCTGGATTCAGACAATCTTTTTTATATCATATTGAACTGAAACTTTAGTGAACTCTTTTAGGCTATGAATTCGACGTGTTTACCTTTCACCAGTGTTTTTGATTCTAGAACGGTAGAGCATCATAGCCAGTAAAATTTACAATTAATTTGATTTAAGGTTGTTTAAAAAGGAATGAAAATTGATTCACATTGAATTACGAAATAATTAGATTTTTGACCTGAAAAGAAAATACTTATTTCAAAATCGAAGTTGTCGCTCATGTATTCGAGAGAACTAATAAATCATAGATAGATTAACGTTGTTGAAATTGTTTATAATATCTTTTCTAACTGTCACTCAGATGGTAATGGATTATCTTCGATAAATTTAATAAGATGTTCAACAATGTCATTTGGTTTATCTTCCTGTAAAAAATGTCCACTTTGAGTAATTATAGAATGTGCTTGGTTCTTAGCACCTGGTACTGCCATTTGTAATAATTTGTCCAATCCAGCTGTTATTGGATCAGAATCCGAAAACAAAGTTAAAAATGGCCTATCGAATGTTGCCAAAATTTTCCATGCATCACGGTTATGTTGCGATGAGGGATCATCAGGTGTTGTTGGTACCAGTTGAGGAAATGCTAATGCACCGCCCTGATATTTCTCATTGGGAAATGGAGCATTATATGCAGCAACTTCCTCTGGTTTCATTTCTCTTACTACAAAACGTTGTATTATTGAACCAACATCTAGTTTCGTTTGTTCGGATGCAAACTTTTGCCATTGAAAGAAAGCATCGGAAAGTTTTTGATCACCTGTAGGTAATCCACCATTGCCAACAGCAACCCGTGCAAAACGCTTACCGATTTCCTTTGTGCCAACTAACTGTAAACCAATTAAACTACCCCAGTCCTATATCAGAAATAGCAAACAACTGTTTAATTAATCCATCTCACAGATCCTATAACCATTTTCGTAGGGAAACGAGCGCAATCTCTCGATCTAATAGTTTTTGAAGTGCGACTATACCACATACATCAATGCTCCCTTGGTTTGACCCCAACACGCATTGATAGTACTAGATTTGGCTTTTTCCTCTTTACTTATACAGAGAACTAACTCTGTGCAGGACATACTACGATAGCTGAGCCGAAAAATAAATAATCTCTCTAGATAACCATCATCAACAGACAACATATGTCTGGAAAGAATATGTGCACGCAGTCTTTTATGTTGTAACTGATATACCACATAATGGAAATGTCCTTTAACTGAGTTGACGCCGTAAAATTACCAACTAACATGTCATGCAACGTATTAACTGGCGCATCATTTCTACAATCCAATCACACTACCGAAATGCTTGACTACGCTTTCGTTACACTCGCCCTTCCTCTGTAAAAAGTACGTGTATCTAAGCCGCTAGAATGGTTCTCGTAACATTATAATGTGACAGTTTTATGAGCAGATTAGGTATGCATCAACCGATCTCAATTAAAACTGAGCACATTATAAAATTTCTTGAGC